CATAAAGAAGGTTATCCGTCTAATAAAAGATCTTCCCAGACCTTTTGATCTTCAAATGAGAAAAAGACAGGACTCATCAGCTGTGTAAAATGTGTCCATTGTTTTACTCAATTCATTAAATCAGATTCCAAATCGAAGTGCATGTGATAAAGTCAAAACTTTAGGATGGCAGTGTCTTTATTCCTACGACGGACATGCTATTGTTTGGAAAAGCGACTGTCTTCAATACCACATCAGTTTATGCGCTTTCTTTTCTTTTCTAAAGCAACGTTATATTGATTGATGTTACCGATTTGGGCATGTTTCTTTCCCAACAGAATACACTTTTTTTTCTAAAATGGCGTTAATCTTGTATTAACATTTTTTAAGCAAATGGAACCATTATAATATGCCATGTTGGTATAATAACGGTCATTTGAAGGTGTTAGGAAAACGAAGACTAGCAGACAAAGGGGGCGTATAGAAGTAGGACAGGCTAATGGAACTGGCGACCCTAAGAAAATAATAGCTCATTTATAAACTGGGTAAGTGCAATATTTATCGTGTACTTCTGCTTTGTTCCCTATCAGACTCCCTGATTAACGGGGATGATACCTACGTCGGAGGTAGTAATAATACCAAAAGAATACTGAGAATCCCTGTAAGATATGAGTGAACTAACGTCGTCGATTCTTATTCTGTTTAGCCATTCCCCAAGGCCAGGTGAAATACATAAACTTCAAACAAAAGCAATGAAAACATAAATGATTGGCTAACAATCTGTACTTTAAAAAACAACAAAAAAACCCAACCCAAACAACTAAACAAACTAACCACCCCCCCCCCAAAAAAAAAAAAGAAAAGAAAAGAAAAATTAGTAATTTGCGGACGATTAGTCCCCGATTGGATGAACAACACACAATATTGATCATGCAATATTGACCAATCGGTGACGGGTAAAATAAGAGCTGGGACAACGTCCACAGAAGACATATAAAATGTTGTGAGGGGAACAGTACCATAATCCCCAGGTCTGTAGAAGTCCATTTAGGAGATACGTTATGCTCTCTCGTCAGACAGTGATCAATGCGGGCATTCCCTGCACGTCCTGGGAAGTGACTCAACAATACAACCTATCCTGTTCTCCATTCATATTTGCACCGCATGGTTTGGTTATGTTTTTTTCAAAAGAGTATTTTTTTGAGCCAATGATTATATCCTCCTATTTTTTTGGTCGTAAAACCAATGCTCACCCATTCATAATTTTGGACAGCTGTATATGCGGTGTAACGAGCACACGGCAACTTTGGAAGATCAGAGTCCCTATCTTTTCAGTTCGAATAGTATTTGCTTTGCTTTCAAAATTTGGGCTTCCATTTGTGAAAAATTCAAAATAAAAAGAAAATCAAGTGAACCTAAGGAGAAACTAAAAATTAGCTATGCACGGTCAAGTTGGGGTATTATGATATTTTGGTATCGGAGAGTATCGTGTGCAGTAATTTTGTAACATCATTGCCATTGTGAACGACAAGGACGTATTTCTCCCAGCTAAGATAAATAAAAATTGCCATTGTCATTGAGATTGATGCATGATATATACGGCATGGTACGATATGAATTACATATGGTATTAAAACGCAGCTGGGTTATGACTGACGTGGGCAAACTACACGACAGTCCACCTCTGATAGAAATGAGCCAGATCGGGGGATAGCCATTTTATACTCATTGAGAAACCAAAGTTCCAGAATTCATCCTTCGAGAGTTTTTAAACCACGTCCTCCTTGCGCACTATGATACCAACCCAACCTGCACCCCTATGAAGAAAGAAAAATAATATGAGAGAACTCAGTGAGTTGTGAGCACAAAGAGGTCAGTAAAAGCTGAAGCAGAAAAAACGAAATTGACTCCTTTGAACACGTGCACAGAAACAAGAATCGTTTTCAAAGGAAAGAGGACGCCAGACCGTCAGAGCTCCGGACGACAAAACAAGCTTCGTGATGGAATCTAAGGACACAAGAGAAATGGGAGATTCCCACTGAGCGTGGACGAAAATAATGTCAAAAACCAGGCAAGGTCATGTGAGTAGAGGAAAAATAAAATCTTTTTTTCAGAGATACAGGACCTTACACCCCATTTCCACGAGTATTTACTTTAGTTTTTGTAAAAGTTGTATGGCACTTGCAACATAAATGGGTCATAACAATGCCGATTATAGTATTTCTAAAAAGTAACATACAAAGAAAAACAGTTGTAAAGGAAAGAACAAAAGGTGTCTGATGTAAAAGAAGGATTTAAGCACAACAGAGGACCCGCCAACTACCCACGCCAAGAGTGTTATTCCTTTCAAAAAATTTTAATAGAACATTTCTTAAATTGAATTTGTCCTGAGACTATTTTTGTGTTGCAGGGCAGGTACTCTTAATTGATTCGAGGACGACCGTCTTAATTGATTCGAGGACGACCGGATCAGTTTTTTAAATCTGTTTTCTGTGCTGCTTATTTTCAGATTCGATGGTGTCTTTCTTTACTTTTACGGGGCCACACTTTATGTCTTATTTGGAATTAAAGATAGGTGTTAAATGTCCAAGAAGACCCATTTGGATGAAAACGTATTTAGCAATTTTATTGTTCATTTGTTTCCATTGTTGGTCGTGCCTTTTTTTTTCTTTTTGGTCATTAAGCAAAAAGAGGGCGGTAGCTCCATTTATACGTGACGTGAAGTCATAAAGGGTTTATTGCTTCTACGGAAATCCCCAGAGTGAAAATACCTGCGCCGGTCTTGGGGCTATTGATTTCAGGGATGGCTGGGAAACGCGTACGCATTTTTAAGTCTCAACTTGGAAAAAAGAGAAAAAAAGAGAGAAAAAAACCCGAAATAAGAAAACGACTTGAAAATTAAATCTACAGCAATGGTATTATAATAAACGATTTCTCCTTTCCAGTTGCTGGCTTATTTTTAATTGCTGTTTCTTTTGTTGTATTTGTTCCTTATATACTTGTCCTTATTGTGATTATTGCTGTGGTTAGTGATGTTGTTATGATAGTAGTAGTGGTAGTAGTAGTAGTAGTAGTAGTAGTAGTAGTAGTAGTAGTAGTAGTAGTAGTAGTAGTAGTAGTAGTAGTAGTAGTAGTAGTAG